GTCCCCATCCCTGGAGGGGTTCAAAAACCATGTGGATGTGGCACTTCAGGACCTGGTTTAGCAGGCATGGTGGTGTTGGGTTGACGGTTGGACTTGATGATCTTAGAGGTCTTTTCCAACCTATGATTCTATGACTTCGCCCATAGGATGAAGTAGGCATGGTGGTGATGGGTTGATGGTTGGACTTGATGATCTTAGAGGTCTTTTCCAACCTTAATGATTCTGTGATTCAGGCTGACCTCCAAACCCTGCATGACCTTATGGCTATAGTGGGAGGTCACAGTGCTGCAGGCTCCTGTAGCCCCTTCAGTGGAGATTAGGGGTGGGTACAAAGCTTTGGGCTTAAATGCAGCTCCTTAAATGCAATGGGTGGAGGCCCCAGATGAAGCTGGTCAGGGCACACGGAGCTTGTTGGTGTACTTCAGACCCTGACATCATATTTGGCGGGATCTTTTGGCAGCCTTTAAATCCATGCGGGATGTAGCATGAGTAATGAAGCAAGCTATAATTTTGCCCTCAATTAAACCCCTCCCTTCTGTTTTCAAAGAATCCACGGGAGGTGGTGTGGACAGTCTGTCAGTTCTTTTTTAAATGTTGAAAGCCGTAAGCTACGGGTGGGATTTGACTTCCACCAGAATAACTGTAGCACTAGAAACAGGAGATCCTCATGATGGTTCCTGTCTCTTAGGATAGACTCACATTATCTGATTTATGTTGAGGGGAGTGGAGATCTGTTTGTTTCCCAAGGACTGGGTTAGATTAAACCCCAAAGACCTGGGGACTTGCGGGAGCATACCTTAATTCCTTGCAGAACGTATGCTCTCCACAGCGTGCCCCCAAGTTACAACAGTTGCAGGATGACTAATTCCTATATGTCAAAACAGGCAGAATCCCTGCCTGAGGCTCCCTTTGTTCCCCAAAATACGAGGCCTGGCCTTACAAAAGACTTGCTTGGAGTCTGCTCCATGACAAGAAGCCACTGGCACCGCTGCGGAGGGGTAGGGTGGGAGTGGAGATGGGGGAGGCTCCTCAGGGAGGTGCTGACAAATGTTGAGAGCGGTACGGGTGAGATCGGAGACTTCCTTTCCTCGGGCTCCTGAGGTTGATTACAGAGCAGCTGAGCTGTCTCCCTTCTGTCCCGTGTTAGTTCCCAGGATCCCCTTCTGCAGCTGTTACCACAGGGTCAGCACCTGGCTCTTCCTCAGTAACATTTGTAATGGGATGAACAAAAAGTGCGCCCGACAGCCCTCCGGCTCTACCTGTCATTCTGGGACAGCCGCAGCTGGGTGTTCCCATGACCACAGGAAAGAGAGATGGTTCCCAAAGCTCAGCCAGGAGACTGCCCATCGCCGTGGCTCATTCAACGCAGATAATGACAACTCAAATATCTGGGCACCTTTACAGAAGGTGAACAAGATGGACGCCATTCCTCATGAAGCAAGATGTAGACGGAGAGCAGCACAAGAACAAAGGGACAGGGGCAATGGGCACAAACTGAGGCACAGGAAGTTCCATCTGAACATGAGGAAGAACTTCTTCCCTCTGAGGGTAACGGAACACTGGAACAAGCTGCCCAGGGAGGTTGTGGAGTCTCCTTCTCTGGAGATATTGAAGACCCGCCTGGACAAGGTCCTGTGCAGCCTGCTCTGGGTGACCCTGCTTCGGCAGGGGGGGTGGACTGGGTGGCCCACCGAAGGGCTGTGATTCTGTGACTCAAGGAGCTACGGGAGCAGGGACAAGCCCTGCGGGCATTGTAAAGCCGAGAGGACCCGGCTGTGGCTGTTCCAGCACTTCTTCAAACCTGTGTCACCTCTTCCTGAGCAGGATACTTCATTAGCAGAGGATTTCTAGCAAGCCTGCCCAAGGAGAAGCGTCTAGCTGCACAGTTGAGCTCTTAAGTTGCGGTTCACCCAAGGCTTTTTTCTGCTCCTAGTATACAACTTGCATTCACGAATCTTCCTGCAACCTTAATTTGCTTGAAGCACTGGCTGGCTGGATCTTTATGAAACCATCCCAACAGAAGATGGAGGGGATGCTAGTAATTTCAATAAAGAATGTATTTTAACTATCTGGCTTATATCTAGAAGTGTATAACGTGTGTAAGAGCGAGTTTATAGCATGGCCATGGCCTAGTATATCAGAGAGAACTTGTTGCATAAGAGGCAGGACCCAGAGCCTGCCTGCTATCACCAGAGTGATTGTTTCACTCGATTGTTTAATCAAGTTTACTGATTTCAGATATTTCTTCAAAATAACCACTCAAATTGAGTATTTTTGCTGGAGTGAGATCTTTCTGCTGGCTGCCTCAGAAAAACTCGTAACCAAGAGTCAACAGGTAGAGCTCCTTGCCCCCAGTGAGAGCTGGGATGACGTTCAGTTTGACTCTATTTTCCTCTACCTAGAAAAATGTGTAAAAGGACACCAAGGAGCTTTGTGGACAAAGCTTTGAAAACAACTCCTCCCTTACAGGTTTGAATGTGTCAGTGGAAAATATTTTTTTGGAGGTGAAATTGGCCTCCCATCTGTTGGTTGCCTTGAAAGCTCTGATAAATGTGAGAACGTAGTCACATGGAATACAGATATGTTTATCTGAAAAAGGGTTTCTTAACAAGTTCTGTATAAATTCACCTTTGTTAGGCTGAGTTGAACTTCACAGCAAACATGAAGCTGATTTCGATCTTCAGTGCCCTCTTCGGGGCTTCCTTGTGCCTGGAAACTTTTGTTGGGTGAGTTACGCTTTTATGGAAGACCTTTCATTTAAGGCCGTATTTTCCAATTGTTGTTTTTCACGATCTTAACTTTACAAAATCTGCTTGGGGCACATTCTTTGCTTTTTATGACTGACCTGTCTTTTGGCTTTGGTACTCTGGTGTTTGAAGGAACCCCTCTCTTTAGTTTCATTTGGGTTTTCTGAGCAGAAGGGTCTAGCTGCAGAGGTGAGTTCCTAAATATACGTTCACCTAAGGCTTTGTTTTGGCTTTGACTGTACCTAGGGAACAGTCTCGAGCCTTGATCTGGAGCTGAACCTCCCTGCAAAGCTCGAGTGTTCAGCTTGGCAGATCTGGTCCAGCACAAAGCAGAGGTGAAAGACCAGAACCTGGCTTCAGATTGGAAAGGTCACTAGTTTCCTTTTGCTTTTGAAGTTCCTTGTTTCTCTTTAAGTGCTTAATCCTCTTCAGAGACTTTGTAAGCAATCTGAATCCTTATTTCCAACCATTATCTGTATGTTGCATTGCAAAATTATCTCCCGTTGTATTTCCTCGCAGTCTTACTGACCATGTAAGAGCCTCAGTAGAAGATGATAACAAACCTAACGGATACTTCCTGAGATGTAGTAAGTGAGCATTAGATTCCAGTGAGTAAATCTGTGTATGAAGATGTAAGGATTAAGAATAAGGAATGACATACATAATTTACTAAAACCCTAGGATCTGTAAAGCCAGGAGAAGCTACTTTGATTATTTAGTCTGGGCTCTGGCGTAACGTAGATTGTGTTCTCATGACTTCGTTTCTCAGTCACATCCAGTAGCTGTGGTTAATGACCCTCATCTCTTCACAGAAGAATCCAGTCTAGAGATAAAGCTTATGGTGGTGGAGAATCCAATAATAAGTTATTAATGTGGTAAAGTGCTTTCAGCGTTCATTTAATTTGGTCCATCAAAAGAATCTTACACCTCAACTGGCCAGACTGAGGAATGTGGTGTTAACGAGTGTCTCTTCTCAGCAGCTCAGGCCACACGAGTAAATAAACGCACACATAACTGAGCTCATACGCCAAGCCCCTTGTTTACCCTGTCTTAAGATGTGTTTTCCAAATCTGCAGTTACTCGTGTCAGTTTGCTCTGAGTCATCTCTATTTTTCAGTACTGTTTGCAGTGGGTGCCAGCAGAGCAGCTGGGCCAGGTCAGAGTATGGAACTCCATGGACGTGTGTTCTGTCCCCAGCAGCGGCCAAAGGCAGATGCCTAGCGAAGAGAATGAAAACACACGCTTTAACCACCAAATGCCATTTGCAAATGCAGCATTAACATTGGCTCACTTGCAGTAGTCCCCAGGCTATACAGCTAAGGAGCACAGCGGTGCTTTTGGCTACATCATTGATCCCGGGCTGTGCTTCCAGTTGTTCATTCATTATGGCTTCCAGGATTCCTTCAGCATCCCTCCTGCTTCTCCAGAATAGGATCTTCTGTCCCTCAGCTGTTGCGTACACTTGTTTGGAGATCCTTTCGTCATTTCCTAAAAGCATTGGTTGGAAGGGATCTCCAGAAGCCTTTAGTCCACCCCCCTGCTCAGAGCAGGGCATGGAGCTGTTTCCCCTTGTTATCATCCTCTACCCCTACTGAGAAGAGTTTGCCATTTTTTTTTGTAACTCCCCTTCAAGTAGTTGTAGGCTGCAATTAGGTCAGCCTGAACAAGCCTGGGTTCATCAGCCTCTCGTCGTGGTACTGTTCGCTTGTACCTATTTTACCAAGCAGCCTGGAAAACTGTGTATTTGAATGGGACAGACATTTTTAGTAGTCTAAAAACCACGTAGAGACTGTACGTTGTACAATGCATAGTCTAAGTTAATCTCTGAGGTTACCTTTCTAACCGGTGGAGTGAGGTACTTCCAGACAGTGATTCATTCCACCTGGAACGGTGCAAGCCACCCTCTGATGGTATCAGCTTCTGACAACACAGGGGAGTTTGTCACCTGTCTTTGACTAAGCTGAAGAAAGGTGAAATGAATCCCGTATTTCGTGTTTGGTTTGCTTTGCTGCATAGTGCTCCCCAAACATTTGATCATTTGCAAACTCAACCAGAATATTTTTTTTCTGCAAGTTGTTGACAAAAAATGACTAATAGATGCAAGGCTGATCCTTGTAAGCAATTGAAAACACATCCAATTGATGTCTTGTTTATGATGAAATCTTAAAAATTACCATTTAACTAGTTACTAATCTAGTGCACGTGTAGCAGGCTGGCCGTGCGGGTTGTTGGTTGAGCTCTCGGGTGACACTAAGTCAACCACATTAAAGAAGTTCGTATCGGCTGGTAGCATGCAAGTAACTACCCACCAAATTCATGATCTCAATAATCAAGCTAGTTCAGCCAGGCCCCTTTTTGAGACTGTTTCTGAAGGCTTACTGATTTATTGCAGGCACCAGGTTCTCCGAATCAAGACAAGAAATGAGGAGCAGGTTAAGAAGTTACAGCTTTTGGAATCGCTGGAACACCTTCACGTATGTTATTACCACAGAGGCATTTTTTAACGTTCCAGACTGGGGTAAGACTTATCAGGGTAGGATTTGGCATCACATTTGGAAGGTTCATGCCATCCTGTGGGAGCTGCCATCAACAAATTTACTGTCTCAGTACCTGGTGTTTGATCTGCAAGTTCTAGTACCAGCCTGGCATTCAGGACTGCCTACATTCGTATTTTCTTCCGACTGGGTTTACAATCATATTTGAACTGATCTTCGTGTCGAAAAATCCTGTATTGAAAGTGGGGATGCTAATGTTTTTGTACTTGTCTCCCAGCATTGTGGGAGGAATTTTTTAGTCAGTCTACACTGTATTGAAATAGGAAAACACACTACATGATTCTAGGTTATTACTGTTCTTATTGCCATTGGTAAGAATTTTTATTATCACCTTCTTTAAAAATATTGATTTGAATAGTATAGAAATGAAAACTTAGAAAAGCTCTACCAAAGGAGAAATAAACCAATGTGTTTCATACTAGCTAATACTGTAATACAGAGCTTTTCTTGAAACTATTTCTGGTAAAAGGGAGAATAGTAAAATAATAATCACAGAAGACTAAAACTTCCTCTTGCTTATATGACTGAAGCTCTGAAGTCAGTGAAAATGCTGACTTTGGCCTCAGAGGAAAATGCTGTCTTTGGCCTCCTGACGATTTTTGTGGGGGGGGGGGGGAGTTCATCACATTAACTGATACACGGCTGCGGTGAGGCCAGACTAAAGAATGGAGAGTTCTGTAAGCATGACAGGGCACAATACTGCAGGAGTCCTTCAATTTGGGAGAAATCAGCATTTCTACAGCTTTAGAAGAGCTATTTGCAGAATGCTTTCCCCAAACCAAACCCATTTGCCTTTCTCTTTTCAGCTGGATTTCTGGATAAATCCCTCTACCCCTGCCCTCCCTGTGGATGTGCGAATCCCCGCTAAGAGCCTCCAAGCCGTCAAAGCCTTCCTGGAGTCCCATGGGATTCAGTACTCCATCCTGATCGAAGATCTGCAGGTAGGCAATACTGTTGTCACATATTTAGCTTTTATATCCTTTGGAAACAAACAGTGATTCACAATCTGACCTTGTTCATGGATTCACGGACTCCTGTGCTCTGCTTTTCATGAGGTCCTCCCCTTATTTTTGTAGTCTGTTGATTTTTCAGAGACGATCTGTGGGTCACTGCTGCACTGGGAAGCTGTGGAGATCACTCTGCAGATGCTATCCAAGACCATGTTGAACAGTGACATCAATA